ATTGAATGTAACATAAAACAAATGATTACTTTCAGTTAAAATCTTTATAAATGCCAAAAATGCTTACATTTATCTGTCTTTTTGTTCGCTCGGGCAGCCATGTTGCCCCTGAATCCGGTTTACGCTGAGATAATTCATACCCCTTCGTTTGAAGTGTGGTCCCGAAAAATCTTCATTTGAGGGGCTGTCTGGCCCTTCCCCTTACCCCTACCCCTCCAACCAAAAGAGAATCGAGACACCCCTACCCCTTCACGTGAACGCACGAAACGGAGGGGTAGGGGAAAGGGGATGGGCTAAGGGGTAGAACTGGGATTGGGCCCAAGTCTTCTGCCTCTCAAGCTGCCTTGAATATATGTTTCCCCAGAATAAGATATAGATGACAGGATGTTGATTATATGGTGATCAAGCTCCATATCAGAGAGAGGTGTAAATCCCCCATTCTCTTCCAGCCCTAGTTCCCTTCTTTTGATTATATAAGGATTATATATAGCCTATATATATATATATTTTTTTTTTTTTGCATTAATAGAAAGTTAAAAAGAACAGCATTTATTTGAAATATAAATATTTTGTAACATTATAAACACATTCAATGTTACTTTTATCAGTTTAATGTGTCCTTGCTGAAGTATGGTAAGAAATTTTGACAAATTGTTAAGTAATACTGATGCTTTAACAAACACCGATAATACAACACAAACATCTCCAATATATATAAACAGTATTATTCTCTGATGTTCTGAATGTCTCTACTAGCTTTCATGGTTTCATGGAATTGTGGTACAAGCCGACATTGATGCGTCTGATGTAGGAAGTGAGCTTGTTTTCCTCTCCTCAAGTCAAGCCCTAGGAGGCGTGATCATTTTCTCTCATGTTGCCCTGTCAGGGCTAGTGATTTGCAATGTTTTCACTCCACTGACCTGATTGACTTTCTGTGTTCGCTCTATAACCTGACATAATGGCTGGACTTTGAATGAGAATATACAGTAACTGAAGATCATTTTCTCTGACCCTGACTGTCTTCAGTTTGAAGGCATTGTATTTTTTGAACACCTCGTTATTATTCTTATTAAAGGGATTATTCATCCAAAAAGCAAAAGTCTATAATTATTTATTATCTCAAAGTAGACACTCTGTGCTTATATTTGACATCAAAATTCGACTCTTTATTGGTGTTCCTCAGACTAAATAAAGTGCTACATATTTGGAACGACATGATGAGTAAATGATGACATAACTTTAATTTTTGGCAAACTAATTATTTAATACATCACCATATTGTGTATGAATCTCATATCTTTGCGCATCCCTCTTTTGTGTTTTGAGTTATGTTTCATTAATGTAGTTTAAAAGTGAGCAAGGACTGAAGCACAAAAGCTGTGAGTGGAAAAAGAGAGGTGTAAATCCCCAATTCTCTTCCAGCCATAGTTCCCTTCTGTGATTAAATAAAGTCCTGACTCTAATACATAGCTTTTGAGATATAGTGGGCCAACTAAAACCAATATCACATACATTTTCCAGGTGATTCCTTGAAATATTGTACCTAGTAAAGGGAAAAAATGCTACGTGATAACATGCATTTATTTATACTGGAATAGCAAAACTAGATACAGTGACTGTTTTACACCGGACAAGAGCTGGCAAAATATGTAGCTATGTTGAATTGTGAGGACCTTTTGGTGCTACGGCCAGCCTTTTGTAAAATACAGTAAAAATACTCCATTTGTTTTAGATAAGTGATATGCACTTACAGTAATTAATATAGTACAATATCCGCATTGATGCATTCAGGATGTATAGGCATATTGTTTTAATAAAAATAATAAATAAGAACATCTGTCTTTTGACATGCTTGATAATAAAGATGTATTTAAATGTATATTTATATATTCAGATTTACTTCTATATATTCAAATTTACATTTATATATTCAGATTTGCATATATATATATTCAGATGTACTTCTATATATTCAGATTTACATTTAGATATTCAGATTTACATTCATATATTCAGATTTCCTTCTATATATTCATGGTTATAACTGTATATTCACATTTTAAGTTTATATATTCAGATTTACATTTATATATTCAGAATGTACATAATTATTTCCTGTTTGGCGCCTCATAATATATGTGTGTGTGTATATTTCATGTAGTTGGAAAGGCAACTTTTCTCATTTTCATTTTGAAGTACTAAAATGCACAGTAAACTTAGTTTATTTGAAGTACTAAATAAACTAATAAATACAATTATAAACTAATAAAGAATAATAAAATCTATATGACATATTAAAAAAAAAAATACAAAAATACTCAACAAAATTAATACAACTTTAAATTTAAAGTAAATAAAGAAAATATAATAAGGTCTAATTCAAAATATTAACAAAACTATAAAAGAATAGCAATGATAATAAAAGAATAAAAACATCTCCCAATCTTGTGAGTGTGGTATGGCAGCTGGTAGAATGAATGATGTCTTATTAATTAATTATTAAATATTTAATAAATTAAATACTTGTAATTAATGTTTATTACATTTTTAATAATAATCATCATCTTCATTATTATTATTTGTATAAATAACTTCTATTGGTTTAATAATAATAATAACTGAAAATTAATATTTTATTTATTTAATAATAAATGCCACTTTTCTCAGCTTATGAGTCCATTTCTACCAATAATTGAGAATTGTAGTCATTAAGAATTTGTTTTGCTTTGTCCAAAGCTTGCTTGAATGTGTTCTAGATCATTCGATTTCTTGAAAGCCCTGAAGCGATGTGATGATGTGTCTGTGATGCCACTGACTGACTGAGGCCTGATGAATTTATATTCGGCTGTATCCTCAGTTGCCCAGTGAGCCGCTCAGCAAGACATCAGACAGCTGCTTGGGAAGGATGATCAGATTTGAATCAACAAAGCTCATCTTGTTACAAAGATTAATCAGACCAGCCGGTCCTCCGTGGCTCTTATTCACAAGCTTCTCACGTTTCACACCGCTCCGCTTTCAGTCCACTCTGAGCCTGACATCCAGTCTTATCATGAATTATGATAGCTCCCATTCAGCTAATGATCATTCATAAGTCCACAGTTATGATGAAGTACTGTTGCGTCAATAGAGTGCCCAAGAACCAGATCAGTTTATCTAATTACGTAGTGTTAGGGGATAAACCAGTGCTCCCCAAAAGTCCATTAGAACTCAACCTGGCCTTGTTTTCATGAAGTGTTCAAGAATATCAGAGGGCTTTTCTTCAATCACGTTCCTGCCGTTAAAGTGATCCATGTTGCTATGTGTTTGTGTGCATGTGCATGAAGGATTGTTTGATTGTTCTCTTGCAGATCTTGAGTTATCTGGTAGCGTGTGATCGGTTTTGTGAACTCGGCTATGATGAAGCTCAGTGATGAAGCTCAGGCTTCCAGCAGAATGCTATTAAGGAGGTTCTTCTGGTGCATGAGAACCACAGAGAGCGAGCGCTGGAGGAACTCATGACCCGCGTGGCCGTGTTATGATGCAGTGAATTAGCTGCGATCATGGTTTGTGCTATTCACCGGGCTCATATAGCTGTTGCTTATTTATCATATGCTGAACTTTGTTTATTCATTGCGCTTTCTAGATATGTGTTGAGGCCTTGGAGACAAGCACAGTTTGACAGTCGACACCAGAGAATGACTCTGTAACAGTCAGGGGCTGTAACGGGCGATTCTAGGATTTTCATTTTAGGGGGGCTCAGCTGAGGGTATAATATATATATATAAATAAAATAAAATGTTTGACTAATAGGGGTGGTATGCTAAACTTACAGTATATACCAAAAAGTGTTGTATCCCACTGTATTGCATAGATAGGTATAACATATAACTGAATAAGCCAAATACAAATCTTCATGATCTCACACACACGTTTACTGTACACACACAAAATTTTACTGTTTGCATTTCTAGTACAACCCTCTTTCCTTAGCTCAAGTATGCAAACCTCTTTGCTATGGGATCAGAATCCCGCCTAAAGTATTGCAGTCACGGATAAAAAAATAACAAGCATGAAAACAAAATTTTAAAACACAAGTAAAAATATATTGCACAAGATTTAAAAATGAAAGCAAAGTTTTCAGAATAGCAAACAATGGTCATGGATTGAAAAATAATAAGCGTAAATCAAAAAATGAATAACGCATTTTAAAAAATGTATAAGCATGAATCAAAACTTTATACACGTTTAAAATCATATTGCACAAAATTGAAATATTAATGCAAAATTGTCTGACTTGCACACAAAATCATGTTTTCCTTGGTTATATTTCAGTTTTTTCTGCTCTCAGACATTTTCTGCTCATATTTTTTATTTTTTGTATGCTTCTGCTGTTTTTCCCTTCGCTCTTGTTTCCACAGCTCCTCCTCTAGCCAATCAGATGAAGAGGGGCGGTGACGTCACTCCAACTCGCCTCATTAGCTGCCAATGCTCAGTGTTCTGTTCACTTGTACAGGTGAAAATGGACAGCTGTCAGCTGGAAAACATCTTTCCATACAGGACACCGTTATATGTGCCTCTTCATATGATTGGATAGAGGAGGAGCTGTCAATCTAGAACTAGTGGACCAATGATGACGCTTAAGCCTACCCTGATTTACATGAAACTCTAACCGCAACATTTGGAAGAAGAAGCGCAGAACGTGGAAACAAGAGCGAAGGGAAAAACAGCATAAGCATACAAAAAATTGAAACAAACATACAAGTGGGCTATAGCCCCCCTAAAAATGGCCTAGCGACACCAATGCTCTGTAACAGAAAATGCATTATTTTGTTGCTTTATTTGAAATGTAAACCATTGGTATTTATGTTAATTTTTTTTCTTGGAATTCATACAATTGTTAAACTTTTTAAAATGCATTAAAATTGTTAAGCAATATATATATATATATATGGCCTCTTTAACATCATATTCATCTTTTCAGTTTCTATATGGTGCCTCAACTTACAACATGCTGAAAACACCAGGTGTAATTTTTTTTTGTCAGCCGAACCCCTTTGACATAAATTATTTTCTTGAAGTACCCCCTGAGATTTTAAGTTAATATTTCAATTAATTTACAACACATTTGCATATTTACGCTGCTCTGATGTTGGCTAATGGTCAAATGACATGCAGGAAAACAAATAAAATATTTCTTCATTTTTTTTAAGTGTTTTATTTTGGTTGTTTTTATTTTGTAATCAAACTATGTATTGGTCAAACAATATATTGTAATTATTTTTGCATATATTGCAATTGTGATTTGAAAAACTGCATTTCATCTCATAAAAGAAAATGGCTCATGCTACTGCTGAAACATCCATTGTTTTTTTAACTAATTATAAAAGAATTAAGACAAAAATATAAAGGCAAACAGAACAAAGAGGCCATTTCAGAGATAAAGTTTACATTTGTTTATTATTATTATTATTATATTACCTATAATTATAAAAATGAAGACAAATATATATATATATTATTGTAATATTACAATTGTACTTTAAAATAAACTGAATGTTTGATCATTATTTGAAATTACTTTGTTACAATACGAAATTTCAATTACATTTATAATTATTACAATTCATTTTGTCATTTTTAATTACAATGCTAATTTTACATTAGTAAATGAAATTATGCAACTTTGCACAGAGCATATGACTAATTAGATTGGACTAATTTTAATTTAATTATAGCACTAAGCCAGGGGT